AAGCGCATGGTGGTTCCGGCTGCACTCAAGATCATCCGCTTGAAGCCCACCCGCAAGGTAAAGCTTGGGGGGGGGCAGGGTTTTGGGGACCCCCCCATGGTTTTGGGGACCCCTGTTTTTTGTGCCCCCCCCTCCCATGGTTTCGGGTCCCCCCCCATAGTTTTGGTTCCCCCCCCCCATGGTTTTCGGTTCTCCCCCCCCATAGTTTTGGGTGTCCTATCCCCATGGTTTTGGGGACCCCTGTTTTTTGTGTCCCCTCCCATGGTTTCGGGTCCCCCCCCATGGTTTCGGATTCCCCCCCCCCATGGTTTTGGGGAACCCCCATAGTTTTGGTTCCCCCCCATGGTTTTGGGGATCCCTGTTTTTTGTGTCCCCCCCATAGTTTCAGCCCCCCTCTATTGTTTTGGGTCCCCCCTGATGGTTTTCGCTGACCCCCGGTGTTGGGCCCCCCCATACTTTTGGGTCCCATCTCCCCCATGGTTTTGGGACCCCTGCCCCATGATTTTCAGGTCCCCCCCCATGGTTTCTGGTTCCCACCCCCCCGGTTTTGGGGCCCCCCCATGGTTTTCTCGTCACCCCCCCCGGTGTTGGGCCCCCCCCATACTTTTGGGTCCCATCTCCCCCATGGTTTTGGGACCCCTGCCCCATGATTTTCAGGTCCCCCCCCATGGTTTCTGGTTCCCCCCCCCGGTTTTGGGGCCCCCCATGGTTTTCTCGTCACCCCCCCCCGGTGTTGGGCCCCCCCCATAGTTTGGGGTCCCATCCCCCCCATGGTTTTTGGTTCCCCTCCCCCATGGTTTCTGGTTCCCACCCCCCCGGTTTTGGGCCCCCCCCCATGGTTTTGGGGTCCCTTTTAACCCCCCCCCCCCCCCCAGTTTGCCTACCTGGGCCGCCTGGCGCACGAGGTGGGCTGGAAGTACCAGGCGGTGACGGCGGCGCTGGAGGAGAAGAGGAAGGAGAAGGCGAAGCTGCGCTACAACAGGAAGAAGAAACTGATGGTAACGGGGGGGGACCCCAAAAATGGGGGGGGGGGGGCACAAAAATGGGGGGAACCAAAATAATGGGGGGGGGAATGGGGGTGGGAACAAAAATATGGGGGTCCCCCCTTTAAGAGGGACCCCCCCATAAGGACCCCGTTTAAGGGGGGTGCCCCCCATAAGGACCCCTTTAAAGTGGGACTGCCCCTCCCGTAAGGACCCCCTTTAAGGGTGAGCCCCCCAATAAGGACCCCCTTTAAGAGGGACCCGCCTTTCCATAAGGACCCCTTTTAAGGGGACCCCCCATAAGGACCCCCTTTAAGGGTGACCTCCCCAGGGACCCTCTTTAAGGGTGAACCCCCCAAGGACCCCCTTAAAGGGGGTCCCCTCTTCCCATAAGGATCCCCTTTAAGAGGGATTCCCCCCCCAAGGACCCCCTTAAAGGGGACCTCCCCTTCCCATAAGGACCCCTTTTAAGGGTGGGCCCCCCCCCATAAGGACCCCCTTTAAGGGTGGACCCCCCATAAGGACCCCCTTTAAGGGTGACCCCCCCCATAAGGACCCCCTTTAAGAGGGCCCCCCCCATAAGGACCCCCTTTAAGGCCCCCCCTTTGGTTGCAGAGCCTGCGCCGCCGGGCCGAGCGCAACGTGGAGGCCAAGACGGCTCCGTTCACGGCGGTGCTGCGGCAGCACGGGCTGCTGCTGTGAATAAAGGCACTGGTTTGGACTGGTTTGAACTGGTGTGGAGTCATTGGGGCTGGGTTGGACTGGGATGGACTGGTTTAAACTGGGTTGGACTGGTTTGGACTCAGTGCGGGTGGTTTGGACTGGTGTGAACTGGTGTGGAGTCATGGGGGTTGGGTTGGAGTGGGTTGGAGTGGTTTAAACTGGGTTGGACTAGGTTGGAGTCACTGGGGCTGGTTTGGAGTGGTTTGGACTGGGTTGGACTAGGTTGGGTTGGTTTGGAGTGGTTTAAACTGGGTTGGACCGGGTTGGGTTGGTTTGGAGTGGTTTAAACTGGGTTGGAGTCATTGGGGCTGGTTTGGAGTGGTTTAAACTGGGTTGGACTGGGTTGGAGTCATTGGGCTGGTTTGGAGTGGTTTAAACTGGGTTGGACTGGTGTGAACTGGGTTGGAGTCATTTGGGCTGGTTTGGAGTGGTTTGGACTGGCTTGGACTGGTTGGACTCAGTGGGGGTGGTTTGGAGTGGTTTGGACTGGGTGGGGGTGGAGTGGTGTGAACTGGGTTGGACTGGGTTGGAGTCATTGGGGCTGGTTTGGACTGGTTTAAACTGGGTTGTACTCGGTTGGTTTGGAGTGGTTTGGACTGGGTTGGACTCAATTGGGGCTGGTTTGGAGTGGTTTGAACTGGGTTGGAATCATTTGGGTTGGTTTGGAGTGGTTTTAACTGGTTTGGGCTGGTTTGAACTGGTGTGAATTGATTTCAACTGGTTTGAAGTGGAGTGAACTTGGGGTTGGACTGGTGTGAACTGGTTTGGACTCATTGGGGCTGGTTTGGAATGGCTTGGACTGGTGTGAACTGGGTTGGAATGGTTTATACAATCAGAATAGTTAGGAATGGAAAGAACCTTAAGATCATCCAGTTCCAATCCCCAGTTTCAACTGGTTTGGATTGGTTTGAAGTGATTAAAACTGGTTTGCACTGGTTTGAACTGGTTTGCACTGGTTCAGTGATATCCCCCATTGAAACACCCTGCATGTGGCTGCTCCAAAGCAGCTTGGACCCCAAGCCCCATGCACGGAATCCTGGACATGGGGTGCCCCAATGGGGCCCAAAACCACCCCCCCCCTTTGACCACTTATGGGGCTCATGGGGTGTGGGGGGGGGGTTGGCTCCAGATTCACCCCAGCGTTTTGGGGCTGAAAAGGGCGGATTTGGGGGTCAAAAATGGTGAAATCCTTTACAATGGGGCCCACAATGAGCCTCAATGCTGGGGTTTGGGGGGGACCCAACGGCCGCGTCCGTCCCCATCCCGTCCCCCCCTTTTACCGGTTGAGTTGGTTCAGTCCGGACCAAGTGAATGGGGGGGGGGGTTACAGGGACTTAGGACCCAAAACCCTCAGAATCCAGCCCAAAAAGCGAGCCCAAGGCACGGGGAGCGCCAATGGGGGTCCCGCAAAAGGGAAGCGGCGCTCGCCCGAACAGGGACTTGAACCCTGGACCCTCAGATTAAAAGTCTGATGCTCTGCCGACTGAGCTATCCGGGCTCCTATTGGAGCCCCATCGCTGCCGCCTCAAGGGCTGGGCCTTTGGTGCTGACAGAAACGGGGGAAAACGCCCCAAAAAACGGGGATTTTTGGGGGCGTTTTGGGTGGGAAACACGCAGGGGAATAGGGGGGAAAAAGGGAGCGGACCGGAGTGAGAACCGCGGCTCTGCGCCGGCCCAACCAATGGGGTGGCGGCGGGGAGGTGGAAGCGTGGCCAATCAGAGGGCAGGGGGGGAAGAGCCGGTTAATGGTCTTGAGCTACCGGACAAACGCCTTTAAGGGCGTTTGAAGGGTCCGTGTTTAAGGGAACTGAATGCGGATTCAGTTGGTGCCCGATAAACGCGTTTAAGGGGTGAAAACGGGCGTTTAAACGGTCCGTGTTTAAGGGAACTGAATGCGGATTCAATTGGTGCCCGATAAACGCCTTTAAGGGGTGAAAACGAGCGTTTAAACGGTCCGTGTTTAAGGGAACTGAATGCGGATTCAATCGCTGCCTCCCTGCATAGGCTTAGACGGGGCTAAAGGGTTCTTAAAGCGGTGTTTCAGTGCATGGAGTGGAACAGGATGAAGTGAATGGGGGCATTTCTCCTCCAACGACCACCACGGGACTTAGGGACCAGTCTTGGCATCCACAACAGGGCCTGATCCACATGCAGGAGTAAAGGGGATCGGGTGGGCAGAACGAATGTGCCTATAATAAAGGTATATAGATATATTATATAGATAAATATACGTATTATAGACAGCTGTAAACGGCCCCTTCTCCATGTGTGCGGCAGGCGGAGCGATCCCCACGACCCGGTAGCGGAATAAAGCCTCGTCTGCTTGGAGCTCGGTACCACAACGCTGCCTTTACCCTTCGGGTCCATAGCGACGAGGCGGATCCAAACCGCACTCCGCCATTGGCCAGGAGCCGGCGCTCTTCTATTGGCTCTATGCGGTAACCAATCACAACGCGCCGTTTGGATCCGAGAGAAGGTATAAGTAGGCAGGGAGGCGGCTGCGCGGCCGCATTAGAGCGCAGATAGAGCGGCGATGTCAGGGCGGGGGAAGCAGGGCGGTAAGACCCGCGCTAAGGCCAAGTCGCGCTCGTCCCGAGCCGGCCTCCAGTTCCCCGTAGGCCGCGTTCACCGATTGCTTCGCAAGGGGAACTACGCGGAGCGGGTGGGCGCCGGCGCTCCGGTTTATTTAGCGGCCGTGATGGAGTATTTAACGGCCGAGATCTTGGAGCTGGCCGGGAACGCGGCTCGGGACAACAAGAAAACGCGCATCATCCCCCGGCACCTGCAGCTCGCGGTGCGCAACGATGAGGAGCTCAACAAGCTGCTGGGCGGCGTCACCATCGCCCAAGGGGGAGTCCTGCCCAACATCCAGGCCGTGTTGCTGCCCAAGAAGAGCGACAGCCACAAGGCCAAGGGCAAGTGAGGGGCGGGCGGCGGGGAGCCCCGACGGGGTTTAATTCCGCTTTGGTGGCCTCGGTTTTCCTTTCCATAAACCCAAAGGCTCTTTTCAGAGCCACCCATCGCGTCCGGAAAAGGGCTGCAATAACGGTGCAATGCAATACAACTTGCGGATATGCAAATAAGGGGCTCCAATCTGTGCCCGCTCATTGGGGCGCGCCCGCTACACGTCCTTCTACACGTCCTTAACGGGCTATTAGCGTTAAGGGCCACTATAGCGGCTCTAAACGCCGCACGGTGATTGGAAGCGTGTGGATTCGGCTCAGCCAATGACCGCACGCAGTTTGGAGCCGGGTGCGGTAGCACCAGAAATGGGAATGAATGCAGCGGGCACAGCTTAGTAACTAAACGGTATAATAAACGGTTACCGGGTCTATTTTGCCCCCACAAACACCCGAACAGTATCATAATTAAGCTTAATTTTCTCTTTTATCACTTTAACGTCTATAAAAACGCTGAATAAAGGCTTAACGGACGCACCTACAGAGCCAAACCGCTTCGGTGCCCTGCGATCTGAAACGAACGAACCCCTGTGCTCCAAAGCCAACAATGGCCGCTGCTGTCTGCGCCACAGGGTTTATATAGCCCCGGAGCGGACCTGAGAGGGAACCGCGCTTCGCCTCCCCTGCGCGCCCTCCCTCCCCTTGAAGCTCGCGCTCATCCAATCAGCGAGCAGCAACGGTTTGAAGGGGAAAGCGGCCGCGCAAATGAAGGTGACCGGGGCTGGCTCTGAGCGGCCGGGATATAAGCGGAGAAAGCTCGGTTTTGGTTAAAAAAACAGCGGAATCATCAGTTTTAAAGATAGATTTAAAGCGCTTGGTGCCCCTTGCGCATACAGCGTTTAGCTCTCTTAAAAGCTCCGAAAGCATAGCGATATCAACTCTTAATAGGAGGAAGTGGGTGGCTCTGAAAAGAGCCGTTGGGTTGAAGTTGCGCCGACCGCGCCCGCGTTACTTGGAGCTGGTGTATTTAGTGACAGCCTTGGTGCCTTCGGAGACGGCGTGCTTGGCCAGCTCGCCGGGCAGCAGGAGCCTCACGGCGGTCTGGATCTCCCTCGAGGTGATAGTGGAGCGCTTGTTGTAGTGCGCCAAGCGAGAGGCTTCGCCGGCGATGCGCTCGAAGATGTCATTGACGAAAGAATTCATGATACCCATGGCCTTAGAGGAGATGCCGGTGTCCGGATGGACCTGCTTCAGCACCTTGTATACGTAGATGGAATAACTCTCCTTCCTGCTGCGCCGCCGCTTCTTGTCACCCTTCTTCTGGGTCTTTGTTACCGCCTTCTTAGAGCCCTTCTTAGGCGCTGGAGCGGATTTGGCCGGTTCGGGCATTGCGCTATAGTTCCGGTCACTCTAAACGAGACTAAACCGAGTAAAGGCAACAGCCCGCCAGCGCCGCTTTTATAGCGGCGTAATGCAAATGAGGCATCAGAAAAGGGCGCGTTCCCATTGGCTGAGACAGCTAGCCTCTCGCTTTGCGGAGAGACCCTGCTCATGCAAATACAACGGCTCCAGAGTGCGGGTTCTGATTGGTTAGTGAGGGCCGGACAACTGCAAACGTGCTCAGCCAATCAGAACGCGCCGTTTGGATCCGGCCAAGAAGCAGCGTGAACTGGGGTTCTGATGAGTCAGTGAGTGCTAACTCAATGCACAGCCGCTCAGCCAATCAGAACGCGCCGTTTGGATCCGGCCAAGAAGCAGCGTGGACCCCGGTTCTGATGGTTAGTGAGAGCTCTCTCAATGCACTGGCGCTCAGCCAATCAGATCGTGCCGTTTGGATCCGGCTGAACGCAGCGTGGACCCGGGGTTGTGTAGCAGGTTGGGTGCGCGATCCCATTTATTAATTAGAAGGAACTCTAATTAATGCTACTTAAGCCGGGCCGGTTGAATAGCACGGATTCCCCCCTCGTAAGTAACACGTCATAGTATGGTTTTGGGGTGAATCACCTTAATTTTGGGGCTCCCGAAACACTCTCAACAGCAGCATTGGTGGTTCAGTGGTAGAATTCTCGCCTGCCACGCGGGAGGCCCGGGTTCGATTCCCGGCCAAT